AAGTTCTTTACAGTCTGCTTTGGTCTTAACTATCTTAAGCAGTTTAGTATCATCTGCAAATTTTGCCACCTCACTGTTTAACCCTTTCTCCAGATCCTTTATAAATAGGCAGTGTTAAAGCAATATTTGTTGTTACAGCATTTTTTATTTAAGTTTAGCCTTTCCAGCTATCCTGTCTCAGTGTTACCAATCAATACTTCTTTCCCATAATCTTTCAGGTTATTTCTCAGTCATCAACTTGTGCCATCATTTCTTGTCTCTGAGGCCTAAAATAGAAAATCTAAAGTTTTGCAGCCATGTGTTTCAGCTTGTCTTGCTCATGTCTGCTATAGTTCCTCTAAATATTGATCAGTCTCTTACTTTTAAAATCCTACAAAATAACTCTGCTTAACCTCCAATGAATATATTATAAATATTTTCGAAAGTTTGTTTGTTTGTGTGTTTGTTTGTTCTGAAAGATCTCTGAAACGGCAAGAGCTAGAAACACAAAATTTTGAATGGATACTACTGATTTCCTAACTTAAATAACTGGATTGGTTATATCTTGAAATCGGTTTCCCCAGAACCCCAATTGGGCCCACTGATAATTAGCTTATAGTAGCTCCTGATCATAGGCATTTGCTGGTCTCTTCTGTTAAGCGTGTCACATAAACTGCAATTATGAGATCCTTTCCCAATGATAAAAGAGAAAGTATTTCCAATACAATATGTTATGGTAAAGTAATTTACATAGTTCATTCACCACACCTTTTATCATCAAGAAATGACTTAAATGTAAATGCATTTTGTAAGTACATCACTAGCTATGTTAATTTCTTAAAGTAATATATGAGAAGTATTTCCAATACAATATGCTAGGTTAATGTAATTGACGTACTTCATTCATCACAACTTTTACTATATTTTCCCTGGGCGATGCTGGGTATTTCTGCTAGTATGTAATATAACAGTGAATTAATACTAAACTAAAGTCACTGGCTACATCACACACTAAGCAGCAATTACTAACTCTTAAGTCTTACATGAATCAGGCTAAAAGTTCTTTAAAAGAACATGTTGTTCTGCTGAAGACTGGACTGGAAGGGCCTGAAATTTGGGGCCTTGGCTTATGCTGGATGTTGCAGAGAAAGTGGGAGGATTGAGTCTCCCCTAAAAATTGTTGGAGCAGGAGAAGAGGAGAGCTGCTAGTGGCAGATAGAAGAGGGATGTCCAGAGAAGGAGACAGTAAGGTGGGATGTGAAAGTGGAGAAGTGAATAAGGAAGAATAACCTGCCAAGAGGAGAAGAAAAGTAGAAAGTGGAGAATCACTGGCCATAGGGGGAAGAGAAGCAGGCAACTGGGAAGCATCTGGAAGTAACATCTTGTATTGCACCAACTTCTGTAGGTGAGAGAGACGTGCCTTCCAGGTTATCCTGATCTCTTCTTCAGGTCTGTTTTGGCAGGCTTGTCATGTTTAATACCGCAAGCTCATCATGTTGCAATTAAAACATTCAAGTTCCACCTGATTCTTTATAGAATCATAGAATAGTAGAACTGGAACATAAAGGGATGATCAGTCCCCTGCACTCCTGGCAAGACCAAGCACTAGACCAGTGTTTCTTAAACTATGTTCCGTGGAACACTGGTGTTCCGTGAACAACTCACAGGTGTGCAGCGACCGTTTCTTTGCTTTTGTTACTTCTTTGTTTTTGTCTTTTTTGTCTGCCAATAATTTTTTGAAGAAAATTTTCATAGGTGTTCCGCATTAAAAAATATTATTGTTTGGCATTCCATGGTCTCAAAAAGTTTAAGAAACACTGCACTAGACTATCCCTGGTTTGTCTAACCTGTGCTTAAACATCTCCAATGCTGGAAATTCTACAACCTCCCTATGCAACTAGGTGACCCTACATCCCTTAAATGTGAGTAGAGGGGAGAGCTGGGGAGAGCTGGGGAAGGTGGCGCTGACTGGCCTGTGCCTTCAGCTGCTATTTCTAAAATTGCTGGTATATTTTCTCTTTTCCCTTGCAGTACTTGACATCTCTGCCCCCAGCTCCTCCTACACTTGAACTGGGAGGGTGCTGGCTGTGGAGGGGGGTGCTGTAGCCCCTGCAGAAGGGGGATGGCTTGTGTGCTGGGGCAGCACACAGGGCGATGCATGTACAAAAACATTCCCCCTATTCCCCTTGCACACCAGTGTCAAAGGGGGCCCAGGCTAGTAGATGGGATGTGGGGGGCGCAGGGCTGGAGTGCTAACAGCCCGCTGATGCTGTGTGGTGGGAGGAGTACGACGACCCTGAGCCTCTGCCCATAGGTTCCCCACCTCTGGAAGCTCTGGGCTCCAGTAAGGGCTCTGGTCCAGGCCTACACCTGCCCCCAGCCTTGCCCAGCTTGGCTCTGGGCTAGCTAGCTCGGGCCAAGAGAGGTTTCCGTCTGCCGAGAGGGGTCTAACCCGAGCCTGTGGGGGAAGGGCGGGTTGTCCGAGTCTTTGCAGGCGGGAGGCACGTTGGCCGCCTTCTTTATGGGGGGTGCTGGAGTTCCGGGACCCGTTCACACGTGCGCGTTCCCAGCCCGGGCGCTGTGCCAGAGCTGGCCGGGGTCGGGGAGCCTGGCTGCGGAATGGCTGGGCAGGAAACCCTGCGGTGGATCAATCGTCTGCGGCCAGTGCTCAGGCGCTGAGCGAGCAGCAGGCCAGGCAGGTCTCTGCCGCTCTCCCTTCACTGTCCTGGGCCGCCCCATCCTGTCCTCCCCCCCAGGCGCACGAGGCGCTGGCTGGTTGGCTAACGCATTGGGAAGGGCCGGTGCGGGCCGCAGCGGGCAGCGCTACCTGGGAACCAAGCGCAATGGGCCGGGCCCCATGGCTGCCCCTCGCGGCGGAGCCTCTGTCGGAGAGTTCAGGGCCGGGCGCCCGGTGTCGCCACTGCTGGGACCGAAGGGAGGCGGCCTGTGCTCTGAGATCCCTCTACTGCCAGCTTCCCTCACCTGACCAGCGGCGGCTGAGCCCTTCCCCGCTCAGTGCAGCTGTGGACGGGGTCACCGCCCAGGGAAGGGCCGGGCTCGCCCCCTTCACCCAAAGATCCAGACTGCTGCCCGGGGGGGGGGAGTCAGTGAAGCCCTGGAGGCGGGGAAGGAGTGTGGACCGAGTGTGTCGGGATGGAGACACCTCCCCCCCCAGCAGATGCAGTCAGTGTCTGCAGCGGGGACTAGCGCTGGCTGTCTCCCCCCCCCCCCCCCGGCCTTTTCTCCAGTCCGGGCCCTGTCCTTTCTGAGCTTGGGGTGGGGCGTCCACTTCCCCGCCGCTCCCCCTGCCCCGCGGCTTGTTGCACTAGCTGGAAGTGCCCTGCGACGACCTAGGGGCGTCGTCCACTCGCACTCCAGGAGCGATCCCCAGCTGCCTGCACTGGGTGCCTGCCTGCGAGCCCGCAGGCATCTCGGCCCCACAGCTCAGCCTGGGCTCTGCTCCTCCGCTTGCCTTTGCCTTGGGCGCTTGCTCCAAGGGGAGCCCCCTGCGCACCCTGGCTCTATAGTGATTGAAGCACTTGGCTAGGCTAAGCCGTAGGGCGTCAGAGCCTGGGGTGAGGGGATCAGCCACAAGCAGCAGCCTGGCCATGCTGAGTCCCTAGGGGACGCACCCTACCTTCCTCCCCTGGCCAGGGCTGGGGAGAGAGGCCGCTGCCCCAGACCTGAGGAGACAGGAAAGACCCAGCTCCAGGAGCAGGTTTTGCTAGGCGCCCACCGCGGGCTGCTCAGTATCGGGGCCAGAAGGCTGCCTTTGGGGAGTTAGAAACCCCCAAAGCCGCGCAGTGAGCCAACTCTGGAGGGTGAATCTCTTGGGCGTTGGGAAATAGGCGAGATTGGTGCCCATGAGGCAAATCAAACCTCCCCCTTTGCACTGTTCTACCCACGTTGAGCAGGGGCGCTGCCCGCTTCACCCGCAGTTTAGACACCACGGGAGTTCTAGTCCGGGCTGAGTTTTGCAGCTCAGTCGGCTCCCTGTCGCCCTTTAGCCTCCTCTCCCAGTAAGAGTGACCCGAGCCAGTAATTTTCCTCTTAGGCACAATAGGGAGAGGCTGGGACTGTGCACCTGCGGGATCTGACTTCTTCCTTGTTTTCATCTTGTTCCAAAGCGCGAGAAATGAAAGCCCAGAACACCAGGGCTTTGCTGAGGTTCCCCTCCACCCTGGCAATTTAATTAATATTAGGTTCCCGTTAGCAGATGCCAGATGAAATTGCAAAGCCTGCCGTGGTTTCGCGCGTGAGACAATACAGATTTTCCACCTATCTGCTGCTCCAACAGGTATTGGGATTGTCTTTTCTGCAGGTTCTCCTGAGGTCTAGCTGACTCGCTCACGGAGGAGTAGAGAGAACATTCAGATACTTTTTGATGGTTAGTTTGATCACAACCTTTTCTATAACATTTCTTGTGTGTGTTTTTTTAAGTCCATGCCCTGTTTTGTTACCAGCAAACCGACGACAATTGATTTGTGTGAACAACATTCGATCTTAAGTTACTTTTGAACAGGGAGGAGCAATCACACTTTGGCATATACTTCCTACGCCATATAGCCCTTTAAATCACCCAGCTGTCTGCCATTTCTATTTAATTAAAAACGATACATTATAATAAAAACACCTGGCGATATTTTCTACTCTGTATTTTAGAAAAGAACTAGAGGCCCGCCCATAAATCTTCCTCACTTGAAACTATCTCTGGACTGGTATAAACCTTATAGATCGGGTTCTTCGATTACCGAAGAACTTGCAAAAGTTGTGTCAGGTGAGCTGAAATAATTGTTTTCGATATCCGGTCTCTTATAACTAAAAATGAACGAATTAAGCATATACCATGTAAAACTTGTACTAAGGAGAAATGTATGCCCATTTTCATCTTAAATCGACTCTTTCCTGTGTCCATTCCGAGTCGAGTTCTTTCTACTTCTAGCCCTCGGATTAAAGAAAAAACGAAATTCACAACTGTAAAATAAATGTACGTTAATATATATTTACACACACAATATTTTGTTCGTATCATTGAACTGGGAAAAACATTCCCAACCTTAGTCAAATTAAATTCATTCAGCCAAAACCTATGGCGGCAAATAAAATCATCCCGATGATGTAAGGGTAACAGCGTTTATGTCTTAATTCATAGGGAGGGGAAAATATAATTTATTGACAAGCTGTCTGCGCTTTAAGCCAGAAGAGGCAAATGCTAGACAGACAAGCTCGGACTCGAAACCACTGTTCTCAATAACAATAAAACATTTTTATCACAAGAAGTTTTAATGAAACAAGCGCGAGCTACCTCAAAGAGGGAATGTTAACACTATAGATTTGAAAAATAAGATTGGAATTAAATGGTTCTATCAATTGCAGTTTTTACTCTGGGTTTCATACACATTTCAGCTCCACTAAGTGTCGCTGTTGTCCACAGCAGCACCGACAATTCTACCTCACGACAAAATACGTTTCAATTAGACTTTAGCATCAAATGCATCCCTAGCTCACACGCTTAAAATACAAACATTATCGTCAAATTATCTAGATGTTTACTTATATTGGCAATAAACACATTAAACAAACCGCAATATTTCCTTACGTTTTTTCTTTTTATCAGGGCTTGCTTGGTGTTTTCATTTTGCAATGGCTTCAGATTCTCATATGTGACCGTTGTAAAATATAAAAATGATTTTTGTGTCAAATTATAGCAGTGATAATGTCTCCTATATTTGACTCGTTTTTGTATATATAAATATTTGCCATAATTTCTCACACCTTGTGTCTAGAAATTTATAATGGGGAATTATGCACGATACAAGCACAAAGATGTAGTGTGCAATATTGTTCACGTTTTAGTTCTCTAGCTATAGAGTAATGTAATAGATTTGTAGCGTTAACTAGATAAATTAGTCAAATAAATTAAAAAGACATTTTTTTCTTTTTCAGTACCGTTAGCACAGTCCCAAGATGTGTCAAATTCTCAGCCCTAGGATTAAAGAAAATAACTTTTTTTTCTATCAACCTTGGCTGGTCTCTTTTATTTTCTTTTTTTAAATAATGTGGTATTTTGTTTTGATTTTCCGGGAAATTGATATTTACATAATTTCTTTTTATTTTCTATTTTTTTGCATGGGGGTCAGTTTATTTCCCCACTCCCATTTTGTTCGTTAAGGGAAATTATTATGCGTTGAAGAAAAAGCGACAGATTTTTTTCATTGCGAAATCCCTCTGAACATTGAAAAACGTGAGTCATTCTAATGGCTGAGGGTTGTTTATTTTTACTTAAAATACAACACATTCTTCATACAATATCAATATTCGCGATTTTGGATTAAAATATTTTATTTATCTGACGTCAGAGCACATTACAGTATCATTTAATTTATTTTAACAGCACAACTCATTTCGAAAACCTAATCTGGGCTTTTGGTTAAGCAGAAATGAAAGCATTCTCATGCCAACCTGGCCAGAACATCAAAATTAGTGTTATACCGCCAACGAAAAAAATTACGGCTTATCCCCTTAATTAAATGCCCCCTTTGAAATTTAAACGCATTTTTAAAGGAAAAGGGGATTCATTCGGTTTCTGCGTCTCAGTAGCTGCTGCCAGTTGAAGCCGGAATCTTTTCCTCCCACTGCTGTCAACAGCTGTCCGAGCTCTTCCTTTTCTACACTCTTTTTGGAAGGAGTAAACAAGCATGTTACCTTAACATGATCGCAAGAAGCAGGCCAGACAATGGGGACACGGGGACTTTGCTTAACCTCGCATGTCCTTCTTCATTGAGATAGACCGGACCCTCATTGTTAGCATCCTGCTTCAGAGGGAAAAGAACGAAATCTAAAGGTCAGGGGTCAAGGACTTTCCCATTCTTCTCTCGTTTATTTCTCTGCCCTTTTCACTCAGGGGATCATAAAGAGGTCGCCTGGTGGCACAGAAGGACTCCCGTGGATTCCTTTACTTGAAATATGGAATCCCTGTGAGCAGATACATCCGATCTATAGCTGGGTCCGAAGCCAGTTACCTGTATCTTTCCAGAGATCAACAGCCACATACAGCGTGCACCTGTATATAGAATAGCGTGTATTTATGGTTACCATTAAGCGAGTTCTCTGCGTACAGATGTGCTCTAACAGCACCATGTCTACTGCACGTCAAAGGGCAACGTATCATGCCAGCCAGCCTTTTGATTTAAAAAACAGAAGGGAAAGAACTAAGACGGCCTCTATCCTATTCTCAATGGGGGGGAGGAATGGCAGGGGGCGGGGGAAGGTTTTCATTTCAGTTTGTTTCCTTCTAATATATTTTTAAGATCACGCAGATGTATTCAGTGGGTTAAACCGCTATAAAAACGAATCTGTATGGAAGACAATTACCTGTGAGAAAGCAGGGGCAAGAGACATTTTAAAATTTACTTTTTCTAGGGTTGATTTCACTGCAGAATGTGCATCTTTTTGTTGGTTTGTTATTTTAAAAGGGAAATCTACCCAGCGGGCGGCCAAAATACCATTGCTGAATATTGTACATACCCCTTAACTATAAGGACACACAGCAGATTTATTAAATAATGATTAAATATTGTGCCATGTTAAATAAGCACAATAGAGGCATGTGCAAAATGGGGTCAAAACTAGGCTAGGGGACAGTTACACACTGAAAGGCTACATACATTAACCATGGACATGTATACAATGTAACTATAGATGTGTAGGGCGAGAATTTGCTAACAGAGTGTGTATCAACTCGGACCGAAGCGATAGACGTGCAGGTATCCTCCTGTCACCAGTCTAGGAAGATGGTCTTGCAGCCAGGACCCCAGCGGAGTCAAGGCTGCTCGCTCGGTGCCAGCTGCTACCGAGCAAAAGGAAACAAACGCCGGACAAGGAGAAGCTTCCCGGGGAAGGCGCCTGGACAATATTCGCTGCTTCTGCAGGGGAAAGGGCCCTGGGAAGCAAAGCTCCGGGAGGGGAGCGGCAGCGCGCAGGGAAGTGAGAACGCAGCGAGCTTGACTCCGGATGCCAGGCCTGGAGCTCCCGGCCAGCTCCAGGGGCTGCGGTGCTGAGCTGTGCCCTGCGCGGGGCTCTTACCCGGGAACGGAGAAACCGAAAAATGCAGCACTGGGAGCTGGCTCCTAGGGCTTCCCGCCTTGCCCCACAGCTGCCCGGGCATTTGTGGCTCCGCTACTAGCAGAGCGCGAAGCCCTAAGCCCCAGCCATCCGCCGAGCTCCCGTGGCAGCGCTGGGCAGAGTCCTCAGCTTGGTTTGGTCCATCATTTAGCTGGGCTGACGGCCGGGCAGGCTCCCCCCACTCCCTGGCTGAAGATCTGGGAGCTGGTTTGGCAACAAACCCTGGAGGAGTCAATTCCGCCTGGCGATCGGTCTGTCTAGGTTCTGCAAACGCTGCTGGTCCGGGTGTATCCGCGTTCTCACTTCCCTTACCGGATCGGCACCGGTTCCCATCCGCGTCCAGAGCCACAGGCCGGGCTGCTAGTAACAGAGTGGCATTTCAACCTCGTGCCCTGAGTCTCTGCAGAGCTTAGTGAGCCCATAGAATGCAGCCCCGGATCCAGGTGTTTGCCCTCTCTCCGCTGCCCTGTCCCACCTCCGCCTTTCCTCCAATGTGCCGCAGAGAATAGCATCAGGGCTCGGGGAAAGTTTCCCAGGAGGGAGAGAGCCCAGACACCCAGCTCGTTCTGCCCTGGCTGCCCTTCGCCTCATCTTCCTCTGTCCAGGAGCAAACTCTAACCTTGGTGGGCACCGCAGCCAGGCGCTTCTCTCCTCTTTCTTAAAATCATCCCCCCCGCCCACGTTTCCCCTCTGCCGCTCTGTCCCCAGCACACGAGGAGCCACGGGAAGAGTTTACCGAATATCTTTTCTTTTCTCTCTCTCATACTCTTTTTTTTCCAGGGGCAGAGGCATAGGAGAGCTGGAGCTGCCAATGCGTTTTATAGGTGACGTAGGGGCCTACGTGGGGAGCCTGTGCCCAAGTGCCACATCTTATAGGCCTTTTCTCCTGAAGTGACATCTCCCTGCAGTTCACAGCCCCCTTTCTGCCTGAAAAAGCAAACCCCCTTTTCCTGCTCCGGAGACAAGCCCCAGAGCTCCAGAAGGGGAGACAGAGAGTGAGAGGAGGAAGCTGAGATGAGAGGTGTGTGTGGAGGGGTGAGGAGACCCTCCCTTTTGGGGCTCAGGGCTAGCCGAGGCAGACAGGCGGCGAGGCGAGAGGCTGGATAGCAGGTGGACTCTCCCAAGGTAAGTCACTCCTCACATTTTGCTGCGATTCTGAAAGTGTGGGCGGCAGCTATTAATTTCCATGGCTAATGCCTCTCGATGCCCTGCAAACTCGATGCATTCCTTGGCACCGTGTGAAAGGCTCTTTAACTGAGCTTAAAGAAAAGG